GGGGTTCAAGCCGATTCTCTCTGCCTCAGCCTCTGAGTGACAGATGGATACGGTAGCGTGCACCATGCCCCAGCTAAATTTTTTGTATTTTTAGTAGAGACGGGCGTTTAAATGTGTATAACCAATGATGGTCCCCAATCTCCCTGACTTGCCGTTGATCCGTCCTACTTCGCCTCCCAAGTGCGTGGGATTAAAGCATGAGCCATTGTGCCCGGCCAAGTGCTGTTTTTCTTAGCTGTGCCTTAAATGTTTGCCAACTCCTCACAGGGGCCTGTGGTTTTTCCAGATTGTGAACATCCGGCCTGGCACATCTGAAAACATAGAATTACAATGTTTTACTGGTCTTCCTTTTGGCCCTGTTACCACGTGCAAGGACAGTAGCACAGAAAAACGCAGCTAAACGCCATATGCATTTTTATTCAGCATCAGCAGTTCATATAATGTTTGTTTGTTTAATTTTGGTGGAGAAGGGTCTTGCTCTGTCACCAGGCTGGGAGCTACGATGGCGTGATCATGGCTTCAGTTGGCGATTCTTGACTTCCAGGGTTCAGGTGATCCTCCACATCAGCCTCTCAAATAGCTGAGACTACAGGATACAAGGCACCCTTGTCTGGCAAATTTTTGTATTTCTTATAGATGGGGATTTGTATGTTGCCCAGGCTGTTTGATATATTCTTCTTCTGTGGTTAATGTTTCTCTTTTTCCCCATCTCAGTCCCTCAACGTGCTAGGATTTTCTGTTTATGTATCCTTTAATTGTTTTGGGCCTATTTATTTTTAAATGTATCTCTATTCAGTAGGAACTTTTAACAAAAAAGTCACTAGTAGTTTATTTAGAACTGCAGGGTTTTGATTAACAAACATGGTAACATCATGCGAATGAATTAATTTTGCCATATTGGTGTTGGTGTTCTATGTTATTTCTTTCTCTTTGTGTTGTGTGTTATTAGTCACCCAAACAGGGCTCGTGTGAGCAACGATGGCTGTTTATTTCACCTGGGTGCAGGTGGCTGAGTCCAAAAAGGAGTCGCAAAAAGCGGTGAGTGGATTATCATTAGTTCTTTACAGGCTTTTGGGACTACAAGTGGAGTTAGGAGGGCAATGTTTTATGGGCTGCCAGGTGGATCTCACAAGTACATTCTCAAGGTGTGGGAGCTTAGCAAAGAACGCCTGCTGTGAAGCGGAGAAAGGGCACCTGCCACCCCGCCCAGCTAAATTTTGTTTTTTGACTACCAGAAAATAAACACCAACTTTATTAATATAATAGCAACAGAAAGAGTTTCCAGTTTCTCAGAATGAAAATAACATGACACCAGCACAAGTGTTAAAACTGTAGGCCGGGAGCGGTGGCTCATGCCTGTAATACCAGCACTTTGGGAGGCTGAGGTAGGTGGATCACCTGAGGTCAGGAGTTCGAGACCAGCCTGGCCAACGTGGTGAAACTCCATCTCTACTAAAAATACAAAAATTAGCCGGGCATGGTGGCGGGCGCCTATAATCCCAGCTACTTGGGCAGCTGAGGCAGGAGAATTGCTTGACCCCAGGAGGTGGAATTTTCGGTGAGTTGAGATCGAGCCATTGTACTCCAGCCTGGGTGACACAGCAAGACTCTGTCTCAAATTAGAGAAAAAAAAAAAAAACAGTAAATGCCTACATTTCTCGTTCTGATAGCTTCCCACCACACACCGAAGGTTCCTCAAGGACAGCTGCCACCAGAGTTGCTGCAAGAACATGTTTTTCACTGGGCGTAGTTTCACAGTCAACTACCCAAGCAGAAGGCTAAAATATTATTTCTTTTTAGAAGATCTTGGTTGAGGGAGAACATATCAATATGGAGAACAGATCTTTGCTTCTTGAATTCAGGAAAAACCATTAATTAATCTATCAATTTTTCTCTGATACAGGTTGTGCCAAAGTGCTCTGTGAAGAATCCTTTTCCATCCCTACTACATGTCTGGGTGAAGGGAGAGGAGGGGGTGGCAAGCCGCCAGTACACCAGCAGGCACTGCTGGTGATGCTCTGGCCTCCGCTCCCTTTCTGCTGGTAATAGTAGGCATCTTTTCTGGCAGCTGCAGCAGCTTGATGTGGGGTGGCGGGGAGGAGGAGGCCACCCACCAATCACCCTGTTCTTGAAGCCATATTTTTTGTGTTCATAGAAGAGGTCTTAGAGCTCCCCAAATAGACAATCTTTGGGCAGCCATCCCTATTCTTCTCCTGGATGGTGCACTCCTTACAATAATAGGCATCAGAGACCCCAGGGCCTCCACAGATCATACAACGCCCCTGGTAAGATCCATAGTTACACTCATCACATAGGCGCACCAGAGTGCAGGGACGCACATAGGAGTCACAAATCACACACTTGCCATCACATTTTTCACACAGTCTTCTGATAGCAACACCAGCCTGCTTACGGCAAAAGATCAAATCAGGACAATGTTTAGCCATAGTTCCCAACTAAGGTGGCCACCATACAATTTTTGTATTTTTAGTAGAGACGGGGTTTCACCATGTTGGTCAGGCTGGTCTGGAACTCCTGACCTCGTGATCTACCTGCCTCAGCCTCCAAAAGTGCTGGGATTACAGGTTTGAGCCACCGTGTGACCCAATTTTTTCATCTGAAGAAATGCTCTAATTTCATACAACAACTAATGAGATCCATGGGGGAAAGGTCTAGAAGCTTCAGGAGCTGGGCTACAATCACCATGAGGTATGGTGTCTCTTTGGCTGAGTCTCATACAGGGAGGTAACCAGCCTAGCAACATGCACACTAAACATGACCAACCAATTCCCAACCTACAAGTCAAAGAGTTTTAGGCCATCCAGTGCCCTGACTACTCTAAAAGGAATTTCCCAAGGAACTGATCTATCAGTAAGTTCACCAGGGCTGGACCGGTTGGCTCATCCCTGTAATCCCAGCACTTTTAGAGGCTGAGAAGGGAGGACTGCTTGAGGACAAGAGTTTAAGACCAGCCTGGGCAACACAGCAAGATCCCATCTCCACAAAAAAATATCCAGGCATGGTGGTGCCCACTTATAGTCCAGCTACTCCAGAGGCTGAAGCGGGAGGATCGCTTGAGCTCGAGAATTCAAAGGAGCAGTGAGCTTTGATCACTCCAGTGCCTCCAGCCTGGGTGACAGAGCGAGATCTTGACTCAAAATAAATAAATAAATAAAATGAAATTAGTGGCGTGGGTGGTGGTCACCTTAATCCAGACCTTTGGGAGGCCTGAGGCCGGAGACTTGTTTAACCCGGGACAGTGGGAGTTTGCTGAGCTGAGATTTGTGCCATGCACTCATAGCCTGGGGCGGACAGAC